GGGGCCGATGCTGCCTACATTTTTGAGGAGCCCTTCACCATTCGAGACCTGCAGGTAGACGGCCATCCAGAGCCTACTGGGTAGCTCTCCCGTGCCCCAGCTTGTCCCCACTGTCCCTGCAGTGACCTGCGCAGTGAGAACTCAAGATGAGGACAGAGCTGATTGGTCTGTGAAGTTCCTGTGAGGAGACTAGAAAGAGCACCGAGCAGTCATTCTCCGGTGTCACCTTGCACACATGACCACAACACCTGATGTTGGAGCATTCATTTTGAAGGGTGGCATGTGTTGCTCAGCCCTTTATGTGTGTTTTTCATTTTATCTTCACAACACACATGCACGGGAGAGATTATCTTCATATCACAGATGAGGAAGGTTTAAAGAGGTTAAAAACTTTTCTAAACTCGTGAGGGAATAGGTGGTTTAACTGACTGAGGAAGTTTGTCATCTTTCTACTACATCACGCCACCCCTCCCGGTTTCCCTCACTACCAAAATGGACTCTTCTCATTCCCATTTTTGAGGGGGATACGCTTTTACCTCCAGGGTGGGACTCTGACTCCTGCTTCACAGAGGGACCATGTCATCCTTATTTTCCAAGATTCTAGTTCACTGGAGGAAAAAAGTCACATGGTGGAGGGATGGCAGGCTGAGGGGGCGCCCCACCCCAAGGGTCCAGCCAGCCCTGCCAGGAGTGGAGGGCGGGACTCTTCTCCCCCACCCCCAACTCGAGCCCAAGTGAAGTGACTGGTTCCTCCCAGGTACATGCATTTAATGACGTCTGTTGAGAGCAGAGGCACCCCTCTGAGGGAAAGGGAACCAGAAACCCCTGGAGAGGGAATCTAGGAGGGGGCGGAAGGGAGCTGAAAACCGACAATCACCATGGCCGTCTCCAGCTCTCCCTCTTACATGTCTATCTCATTTGGAGTCTTCGTTTAAATTTCAGTCTGCACTGAACTGTGTAAAGGGATCAGACACAGTTCAGGCCCAAGAGTATATAAACAGCTCTCTTCCGTGTCCCTCTCCCTCCTGGAGAGGCCTGGTGGGGAAGAAGAGGTCTCTGCACTTGCCTGACCTTATCCACGCCCAGCCAGGCTTAGGATTTCCTGTTTCATTTTCAGGCGAATGTTGAACATCTGGTGCAAAAGATGAAAACAACTGTGAAAAGGGGCTTGGTGTTAAGGTACGTCATCCATAGTTTGTTCCTAAGCGAGGAGAGAAAGTAGTCGGGCTTTGACCCTAGCCCACGGAATGGATCTGTGGTTGGGACATTGTGAGGAACCTAGATACACAGGGAGAGAACCTGAACCACGGGAGGGGATAGAAAAGGGCAGGACAGAGCCTGTAACGACAGAGGGGGTGGAGGGATGGGGAGACAACCAAAGTAACAAGTTGTTGGTCTCTACCTGGCAGGAATGAGAAGAGTAATGAGAACTATACCACTGACTTCATTTTCAACCTGTACTCTGAGGAGGGGAAGGGCATCTTTGACAGCAGGAAGAATGTGCTTGGCCACATGCAGCAGGTTGGGAAGACACCCCAGTCACACTCTCCAGACAGCAATAAGCCCTGACAGCCATCGAGGCTCCCGCTGGCTTTTGGTCTGCTGGGGGCTGTCAATGCTGCCATAGAGCATGAACCTGCAGTCTTTTATAGTCAGAGAATCAAAACATCTTTACCTTGGAAATGGCCTTACAGGTTGTATGGCCCATCCTCTTCATTTAGGGCAGGGTTTCTCACCTTGACTCTATAGCCATTTGGGGCCAGATAATTCTTGTTGCGGGTGGCTCTTCTGTGCATTGTAGGATGTTCAGCAGCATCCCTGGACTCTGCCCATGAGATGATAGTAGTACCTCCATCCCAAGTTGTAACAACTCATTGCCAAATGTCCCCTGAAGGGCAAAATTGTCTCCATTTGAGAACCACTAATTGAGATAAAGAAAATGAGTCCCAGAAAGGAGAGAGAGTTTTGTCAGGGCCATTCACCAAGCTTGGGAAGAGCCAGAATGAGCCCAGGCCATTGCTCTTCCCACCACACCATTTTATAAGGAAGCCGTGGAGAGAATACAGGCACCTCACTGCTGTTGGGCTCCATCTCCACTAACTGGGTTTCAAGAGAAAAGGAATTCCTTTCTACCACACACATGAAATCCCCACCCAAGGTGGGCCTCACTCACAGATGGTACTAGTGGTCTGAGGCCTCCCCCATACCAAACGTCCCCAGCTGATGCTGCTTAACCATTGACTTTCACTTTTCTCTAGCCAGCATCTCAGTTTGTAAGGCCTTATCAGCCCCTGGAGGAATGGGGTACTATTGTTTTAAAGCATGAAGACCTATTTCCTGTTTCTCCTCCTCACTTTCCCACCTGCTTTCTTTTAGTTCAGAGAAAATCTACATGTTTTATATTATTCTGAGGTGCTACCAAGGGCATTCTAGACTGGACAACAAGGATTGTTTCGATATCATAGATAATGGTGACCGACAAAAGCTGCTAGGCTGAAGAGGGGTAGAGAAGTGACCAAGTGGCCAATAAGACTAGAAGTAAATGAACAGGAGCTATGGAGCTAGAAGAGGCCATTGTGAGACGAGTCATCCTTTTTAATTAGTAACCCTTATTCCTGACAAATGGCCAAATATGCCGGGCCAGCTCACCCTGGTTCCCAGAACTGTTTAAGGATTTCCTTTAGATTTCTGGATTCCTGTTTCTGCCTATAAACCTGGGGCCTATTCTTCCCTTTTTCTCTGTATATTCAGATATCTCTGTTACTTCATTAGAATCCTTCCCTCTGTAATGTTTATAACTCTTTTTCAAGGGTGGGAGCCCAACTCCATTTGACAGGAATTTTGCCACTAAGATGGGTGCCAAGGCCATGACCTGGATGACCGGGAAAATCAAAGAGAGTTACCGTAACGGTAGGTAGGGTGAGAGGGTGAGCCCCCTCCATAGAGGCTGTTTCCCCAGTTTCCCCAGTAAAGAAGTTGACTGACCATCCCTTCTTGCAGGGCGGATCTTTGCCAATACCCCAGATTCGGGCTGTGTTCTGGGCATGCGTAAGAGGGCTCTGGTATTTCAACCAGTGACTGAACTGAAGGACCAGACAGATTTTGAGTGAGTACATCTAGTTCCTGGAGTGGTTCCCTCCCTGGTAGTTTCAAAATCTGGTTTTCCCAACCTGCTCACTGCCTTCAATCTTTTTCTCTTAGGAGTAACACCTGTAGTTGTACCTAATTCAGATCTGATGCCCGTGCCCTCAGTCCAGCCTCTTTTGCTCGGCTGCTTCCCATAAGCCTTTGATAGAAGCTGATTGCGGTGCTGAACTACATCATCATTTACCTCATTCCTTTGTAGGCACCGCATCCCCAAGGAACAGTGGTGGCTGAAGCTGAGGCCCATCCTCAAGATCCTAGCCAAGTATGAGATTGACTTGGACACCTCAGAGCACGCTCACCTGGAGCACATCAGCCGGAAGCGGTCTGGAGAAGCTCCTGTCTAAACATCTTTAGAGTGAGAGAAATGGATTGTCTGATCATGGTCAGCTCACCCAATAGATCCAAGTCCATGTATTCTCAAGTGTTGTAGCTCATTTTTCATTAGGTTTCCTTTTACTCTGTAACTGCAGCCATGATCAGATCTGGCTCGGGGGCAGTGAGTAGAAGCTCCGTTTAGGTAGAATTTATCATGGCTTCTGTCTCAGCTTCATCCATCATACAAGACTGGGCTCCTCTACTGCTACTGCTGGATTTCAGTTACTCGGTTAGAATTTTCCTAAAAATAAGCTTTATTTATTTGTTTGTGATAACAAAGTCTTGGTTCCTCTACTACTTTACTACAGTGACAAACAATAACTATACTAATAAATGCCAACTGGTCACTGTGCTTTTGGTTCTCCTGTTATCATGTGCACAAGCAGAAAGTAGTATTATCAGCCCCGAGCTCCAGACTACCCAAATAGAACACCTGGGAAAATGCAGCCCGTGTGATCACCCCATGGACTTCTGCAGCATCTCGTCTCTGTACACAGGGTCCTAGAATACTGGTCCTCACCCTCATCCTTCAGTAGTCGCTCCTACATGCTCTGCAGTCAGTATAATGTTCCAGTCTCCTTTAAGCTAAAGTTGTGTTCCACCTCTTGATCGTGAACGTATTACCAGAGTTGCTTTTCTCCAGCCATTCCATGATCTCTACTCCTTCACTGACAACCCAGGGTTCTTCCTTCCTAAGTTTGCCCCTGTACTCCTTCCTGAATGAAAGTCAGACTCCATTTTGGGGGAGACATGTACATTTTGAAAGCCTGAGACACCCAGTCTTGGACCTGGTTTGGTGGGTTGGTTGAAATGCTGCTTTAGAAAGATGTCAGTTCTTATTCAGTATAATTTGTTTTCTGTTCCATAACAGCTTCTTCCTCCTCATTAGCCAAGTGCCCATGTAATACAGTTGGTCTTCAGGACTGGGACTACAGATTATACATGGCTTCTATCTCAGCTTGTCCCTGTCCATGCTACATTTAAGGTTAGCCTCCAAAAACCAGATCCTGGCTCTTAGCACAGGCATATATATACCTCCCAACGCAGTTTCCTCACTTGCTTGATGAAGCAGGAAGGAGGTTCAAAGTAACAAGGGGTAGTAACTTAACAAAGTAACTTTTGCTGGCTATCCAAAGTATTACTACTATACCCTACAAACAGTTCTAAGTAGTGACTGAAAAGACTTGTCAGAGCCTAGAATTAAAGCAGCCAAATGCTCTTTGTACAGGAATTAATAATAAATATCAAACACATCAGCTGGAAGCGGTCTGGAGAAGCTCCTGTCTAAACATCTTTGGAGTAAGGGGAACAGATTGTCTGATCATGGTCAGCTCACCCCCCGATAAATCCAAGTCCATGTACTGAATCTTCAAATCAGCCTGATTTGAAGTGACAGCCCCATCTTAGAGATGAGGACATTGGGGCTCAGGGTGATTAAATGATGTGGGAAAAAGTAGGAACAGTAGAAATTGCCAAACTTGCTTTTAAAACTGTTTATTACTTTTTTTGAAGTGCACAATAAACACCAATGGCAAAAGGGCAAAAGCAGACGTACCTTTTAAAATTAGCTGTGTCAGCAGATTCTGTTCATTTTTATTCGTAGTTTGCAATTGTTTTTTTTTTAATAAGTTTTTTCAGATTTGCATACCAGTCATCTAAGATCAGTAACAACTTCATCTAGTTTAGGAATATGAAAAGGAAGAGTATTGTTGACTAAGTATTGTTCACTAAAACAGATTATTTAGGGGTAGGTAGGCCATCTCAAAAGAAGCTCTTATAATTCTCTTCCCTCACTCCCCAACTCTGCCTGCCCCCACCAATGTCTCGTATAGATCAGGAAAAAGCAAAGTTTTCAAAACAACTGAAAGAAAAATAACTCTGGACTCCTAGCCGAGTGAGCTTCGTACAGGGAATGAGGAAGACCCATGGGAAAAGGCAGCCCAGCTCCTCCCCTACTAGAGCAAACACCTTCCTCTGTGGTGCAGAAAATGCCTGCTAAGCCTTTGGAGCAAGCTTTGGCTTTCAGGAAGAGAAAGAACTGCAGTAAAAGAAAAGTTCTTGGGACTGCTGGAACCTGCTGTCTCTTCTACCATGTAGAAAGCAGTGAGACAATCTTTCTGAAATAACATTGCTCAACGATTGTAACCCTTGGGCACAACCATGGAAAAGAGGAAAAACTGCTCTTTCCTCTGATGGTGAGAAAGGGGGCCAGTCCCTTCTGAATGCCCCATGACATGGCACTCTAGAGATACTATCCAGCCCACTTCTCAGTCTGCACACTATTTGAGGTTGTAGTATTTTCATTGTGGAGCCACAATGTTAGCTGGAATTTTCTTAAACTTTTTCACAGATAATTGAAAGGCTTCTAGAGAGATTCTTCCAAAACGTTATGTCCCCAAAGGAAAACCAAACACACATTCTTTAAGTACTTTACATCTTCCGAGAGATATTTAGTTGCACTGTTGACTTTTTCTCTAAAGCAGAGGGTAGGGGAGACCTCTTTGCAGGTTGCTACGTAAAGAGCCAAGTAAGCAGTAAACACGACAAAAGTGAGAGATTTTTTTTGTTTGGTTACTTGGTTTGGGGATAGGGGTGGTGTGGAGGTTACTGTTGTGACATGTTGCCTCAAAATATAAACCACACAACAGGAACGACTGCTTTTCCTGTTTTCCAAGACAAAGAACTGCAGGGGAAAACCTCACCCAGAGTCGCCTGCATGATGGTGCAAATGTCTCCTGCAGACTATTCTACAAGTAACAGATATTCCTTCAGAGAAGCTGGCAGTGGAAGGCCCTTCACTGCATCTGGCAGATACTGGAGTCCCAGGCTACGTCGCACAGCATAGCGAGAGAGTGTTTTTAGAGTTCCTGGGGCTGAGCACAGAATAGTCAGTTTTTCACATAGCTGCTGGTCTCTGGCCACTTCTCGTGGCATGGTGCCATTTTTCCTTAATTCAAAGTGTCCAACAGCTCGATGGAGGAGCTCAAAGCAAGAGTCCTCTTTCTCAGTTCCAAGTCCCCTGACCAGCAGAGCCACCAGACGGGAGATTGGTGTCTGGCCTTTTAGGTTGATTACTCTGACCTCTGCACCATAATCAAGAAGGATGCTAACGCTCTCAAGATTCCCTTTCATGGCAGCCCAGCTGAGTGGGGTATCATTGTTGTAATCCAGGGCATTGACAGAGGCCCCACTCTCTAGCAGGGCCCGCACGCATTCAGCATTGTTCTTAAAGGCTGCCCAGTGAAGTGGGGTGTCTCGGTTGCCATCCAGTGCATTGGGGTTTGCACCATACTCCAACAGGACCTCCACACAAGCCTCATCCTTCTCAGCTGCATAGTGGAGGGCTGTTCGGTTATAACCATCCAGGGCATTCACCTGTAGAGAGGGAGGAACTATATTACAGTAGATAGACTACTGAGAGGACAGGCAAAGTAGCTTGCATGTGTTTATCCGCTACCTTTGCTATGTAATGTTCTGAACAAGAAGGTCAATCAGCATTTCCCAGGGGGCCTTGGTGATCAAGGTGGATCTATGACAGGAGCCTTAGGAACAAATAGGAAAAGAACTGTCCCAAAACAATCAATGCTATTATGTGCATTGATTGGCTGGCTATCATTTAGGTGTTTGCTGCTATGTTCTTATTTACTATTCACTAGAACCTCTACTATAGAGTAGGGGCTAAAGAAAAAGAAGATGAAGTCTAAGTCCTTGTAACTACTCTGAAAGACTTGGAAAGTGGCTTAAATAAAGGTTTTGGATTATTTTACTTATCCTAACTCTCTCTATCCAGTGCCTAAGGACAACCAGACTGAAATATAATGTGGCCAAACAAAGTTCTGCCCCTGTAGCTGTACTGTGTTCTTTAAGCTCAAATTGTTAATCCAAGCCAACCTCTTGCAAAAATATGCTGTGGAGTCTATAAAAGAACCTGGATGAAAGCATGTGGAGGAAAGAACACACATCTCCCCATGCTGGAAAAGCAGCTGGCTTGCTAAAAACCAGTATCACCTATGATTTCTGAAGGCTACAAAGTTTGTAAATAATATATTATCTTGCCCCATAAAATGCAATAAAGAAAAACTGAAATATTGAACAAAGTTCAACCTTCTATTTAGCTAAAAATTGTCTCCCCGCCTACCCACGTCCCAAGATATTTTCACTTTTCATCACTGATCTTAATCACTCACTGGCTTTCATTTCAAGGTCACTCACAAAAGTTATGGCATAGATAATGAATGACAAGGAGAGAACACCATGGCTGTGTGGAGATGAGGATGCTAGGGGCTGCCGCTTAGGCTTACTGACCAGTGTGTTTGGGGCCTGCACACCAGCTTCTGGGCATGTCTGATTCAAATTAGCACCTCAGCATATGCACATTCAATCTTGCTTACCAAGAGTCAAAACTGCTAGTATATTTAACAAGTGCTTAGCAATTACTACATGCCAGTATTCTAAACACTTTACAACCTTATAAAGAAGATAACCATTATGGGGAAACTAAGGCAAAGAAAGGTTAAGTAACTTGTTCAAGGTCGCAGCTGGAAGTAACACAGCTGGAATTCAAATCCATGAAGTCTGGGTCCAGAGTCTATTTTAATCACTCATTGTACTATGCTGCTTCTTGCTAATGCCAACGTAAATTAATCTATGGTATTTATGTTATGATACTCATATTAGGAGGAATACAGAAACAAGATATACTAAAACAGAGAACAATTAGCAGAAATAGCATGAGGAGCCCAATCCTGAGGAAGGGATTGCCTGATGATACGTTTTTATCTCCCAGTGACAGTGGTATGAGAAGTGCTCGTCTGGTAGCAGGTCTCAAGTGGTTTAGATTTAATCAGAGTTGAGGGACCTCTGTACTTACAGCTCCTGGACAGCCAACAAGCAATAAGAAGATTAAATGGATATAAAAACAACCCCAGAAGGAAGGCTAGGAGAGAAAGGGGAGATAAAATTCCCTCTTCCTGGAGCCATGGACAACTTCAGAAAGAAAGGCAATGAAATCCTTAATGTTTTATATACCTGCCATTACATTCTGCTTTAATATTGGCTATACCAATGTTACCATGAGCTAGAAAGTGAGAAGAAAGGAGAAAAGAGACAAGAAATTTTAAGAAAATGTGAAGTTCAAGTTTGAATGAATCATTAATGTGACAGTGTTAAAAACATTACCTCGGCTCCTTTTTCCAGGAGTAACTCCACACAGTCAGCATCTGACACCATGCAGGCGCAATGCAGGGGCTTCAGTGTGCCATGGGTACAGTTCACATCTGCTCCCTATGGGCAGAGGGAAACTGCAATCAGTGTGCTCAGCTCATTGAACAGGATGACACTCAGAACTGAGTCCTGAGGGGAAAAGAGTTTCTAACTCTGATTGTACTGTAAACAGACTACTGGTCCCGGTTTCTATTCCTATTAATTAAATAACATTGTGATGCTAATATCCAAACCAAGCGAATACACTTAAGATGAATAAAAAGGACTGTCAATTCTTTAGATCAAGTTATTAAGTTTCTCCACAAGGTAGCATGCCGAAGGGTCGTTTGGACATCGCTGAGGAGATAACCTAATGTGTAAATGCAGTGGGAACCTTATCATCAGGCAGGAAAGCTGGAAAAGCTTTCTATGGCCACCAATGCTCTGAAAGTCAGGAAAGTGAGTCTGTCACATTGAAATCAGGCATGTTCTTTTTGCCATTCCATAGATGACCATCACTAATAATAAGGTCACCTTAATGTTATCTTTTTGTTTACAAACATCGTCAAAGTAGCCTCTTAGTAGCAGTATTCTCTGCCACCCAGCCCCTGCTAGTAAAGGAGATGGCGATACCACAGTCAGACCAAAGTCACTGAATGACTCAGCAGCAGAGCTAGAATTAGACCGTGACAAAATTTCTAATACTGAGCCTTCTGATACCACTTTTGCTGAGAACAAGCTAAGACTGTATGACTTTTTCTTCTCACAGCTGTGTCACACAACTCTGAAGCAGCTACAGGATTCCAAGCTGTCAATAAGGATTCTAAAGTTGTTGAAAAGAATGTACAGAAGTAACTATCTGGATGTATTTTCTAGTGATCAAAAAATCACCCTGTAACTTCTCTTCAAAAGGAATAATATACAGAAAATGGTATCAAAGACCTTCTAGGATACATTGGTCATATAACAGAATCACTGAACAGCAGTGGTTAAATATCAGATACTAAGGTGTTTTCTTAAGTCAAAAATTACCATGCATTTTAGGGGCTGATAATATTCTCTACAGAACTGGAAGTGGTAGCTGTTGTTAAGACAGAGGGCAAGTGATGTCCCTGCATGTAATCATTATTAACCACAAGAATTTGAAAACCACTTCTGCTTTGCTCATCTCCTTCCTCCCTTAGTACCACATGTATAGAAGACTTTGAGCTTGCTGGATCCCACATGCACCATATCCAGACAGAGATTTTACAAAGAACATGAGACTGGGGTTATCCAGAACGTATTTTCCAAAGAAAAGTATCATGCTCAAAGTGAAAAAGAGAAGGGAAGAGAAGCAAAACATAGAGAAAATATATTTCGGTGGTCAAGTTAATACATTTAAGAAGATTATAAAAACTCTATGATCTCGAGCCAAGTCAAAGCTGTAAATCAATAATCTATTAGGATTCCCCAGGAACTTTCCCATTTCACCTCCCCAAGGACTCTCACATCAGTAACAGCACACTCACCCCTCTGATGAGGTCCTCTACATTATCATGGGGGAAGGAACGAATGGCAGCGATTGTTCGGATTAAGCGCTCTGAGAGAGAGTATTTGCTCTGAATGCTCTGCATAATATACCACATACTGGAACTCATCAAGGCTCACGGTATGTTCACATGCTCCAAACTGCCTGAAACAAACAAGTTTTAGGCATACACAATATCGCTGAGCATACCTGTCCTTAGGGGGAGGAGTTCTCTGAGACCTTCCACATACTAAAAGCAGATTTCAAAGAGATCAATGATTAATTAATATCATTTTCTCTTAATTATAAGGAAACAGATCAATACTAGTTGCTTAAGAGGCTGGGGAAACCTGGACACAAACCATCTGACCCTCAGAGCCTCTGTTCTGCTCTCTGCCCTAGTCTAGAACAAGATGTCCTCAAGAGGCTCTAGACCCCCCTAGAGTTCTGTGTGGTTTAAAAATGAGAGTATGCGGGGGCGGGGGGGGCAGATTTTTTAAAGGCTGAAAATGTCACAAAACATTCTTTTCCTCCTCTGAATTTTGTGGTCTTTATTATCAGCACCACCTTTATGTTATTTGTTACATTTGGCTTTGAAGTATGGTTATGCCCATATGGTTTTTCCATCTAAATTGTAATCAATTGGAAGACAAGGTCCTTGTCTTCTACTTTTTTGCCCATGTAAGACTCCATGGAGTCTTACAAAAAGCAGGTATTTAATGAATATTGGTTGATTGATGGACTAAAGGGTATGGATGTGATTGTTACCTATGAGAAGAGAAGGAAAAGGCTATGGAACAAATACATCTATGTTAATGACAAGGCATGTGTGAAATAGTTCAAAATGTTTTCAGAAAAGAAAAAAATGGGAAATGTTTGAGCTAATATTCTAAAATAAGGGAGGAATGCAAAAATATAAACTCTGGAGTCATCTATGTAAAATTAGAGAAAAATTCCAAAGTTCATACCTATAACACAGTTGTAGGAAAACAAGCAGATTTGAGTGCTAAATGAATTAAAAATTTTAATAACTGGTCATTTGTGACAACTGAGAAATAGATTTGGGCAAACATGTTGAAACCACAACATCACAGAGTTCTAGGATGGAAGAAGAAAAATAATGCAATAAACTTAAATTCAACTATAGTAAAAGTTCGGTTGCATAACAGCCAAAATGTTGAAGAACATTTAAAATTACAGCAAACGGGTGGAACACATCAATAAAAAAGCACATATCAAAAACTGTAGAGAAAATATAGTATGCATATGAGCTCTCTATGTGTAACTGTTTAAGAATCCATGTTCTTATTAAACTGTAAGTTCCTTGGGGGTTAATATAGTGTTATTTTCAATAGTGCCTGGCATAAGGCAGGGTCTCAATAAATATTTGTTAAACCAGTGTAAAGCTTATTATTCTGGATCCTAAAAAATCAAGACTTATAATATTGTAATAACTATGTATGGTGTCAGGTGGGTACTAGACATTGGGGGAATCGTTTCGATGGTTATGTAAATGTCTAACCACCATACTGTACACTCATATTTTAGGTAATATTAAATGTCAACGGTAATTGAAAAATAAAAAAATTTTAAATTCAAAATTTGCAGTAAACATGTTATGCATATGATGATTACTAAGGGAAAAATCCTAAACTTACTTGTCATTGCATATTATGTAATTTTTGCTTTTTGTTACACAGTATCCCCTCACACATTATGTAACATACTATAAACTTTAATAGTTTCTATTTTGCTAATCGCTAGCCATTTATCTGTTTAAAATATATACAGTACTAATTTATAGAATACAAGTTAAAAATATTCAATTCATAGGTATCAATGATTCTAACTGGGAATTCTTCTCCCTTATTTTATTATGAATGAATAAGCTTACACACTTGTTTATATGTTTCTCTGAAATTTTCTAGACACTTTAGACTTGGCATATGTTTTAATCTCTCCAACAGCCACTAAATTCCTCAGACACAAGGGATCTGTATCTTACACTTCGTTGCAAGGAAGAAGGTGGAGAAAATGGCATTTGAGTCAGAGATTCCAAGAATGGGGGTAGGAGGCAGAGCATCTGAGGTGGAAGGCTTAGACCGAAGTGGTTCTGTTAAACTGTTTCTGGGCCACGATCATCTGAAAAAGCTAAAGAAACCCTGCAATCATTTTCGGGCCGCTCTTGGACCCCAGAACTAATTTATAATATGACCGGTGGTCCTCTGCTGCTGCTGCCTCGAAGTTCCTGGTGAACAGTGAAACTCCGGGGCACACTGGCAACATTTACTGTCAGGAAGGGTCCAGGAAATCTAAACACCTATCTCCGGACAGCAGCCCGAGCACGGTTTGAACCTCAAGTGGCCCCCTTACTCTGCGGGAACTGAAAGCCCTCTGTCTCTTCTTTTCTTTCACTTCGAATGCAGAGAAAACACCAAGGGTTTTTACTGCGAAGCTAGAAGCAAAGTGGGAGAGAGGCGACATTCAACAGCTCTAATGCTAGGGAGGCCATGGCTTCCGCTGGGGCAGGGAGACCCTCGGCCCAGCCAGAGGCTCCTCAAACCCCACCGCACCTGCTGGGGGAGGGCTCGCGGAAGCTTTGTCTCTACGAGGCAAGAAGTGCAGGGTAAGGGCACGAAATGCGAGTGGTGTCACTTTCCTCATGGGCTCCCCAAAGATCGCAGCAATCCCGGCAGGTCTCCCGGGGTCGATACTTTGAGGGTCGCGCAATCTGCGCCGGGGGAGCCCCAGAGGCGGGCCAACCTCCACCCCGATCTCCCCGGGACCTGGAACGATGTCTCGGCCTCGAGGGCTCACGGACGCCGAGCGGGGGAATGGAGGAAGCGTTACTGGGCATGGTGCCCGGATCAGGGAGCCTGGCTGCAAGCATTCCCGCAGCGAGGGCAGCACTCACCGAACTGCTGGGTTGAGCTGGGTCGTGAGAGCCGCTGTCAAGACGTGACCCGGAAGCATAAACTGCCTTTAGCTGGCCCCTCTGTTTACAGGACTTGAAGAGCTACTAGCATGAGCGCTTGCGCACCGAGCCGTGTCCGTAGGCGGGACGCGCCTGCGCAGACTTGTGAAGCCGCCTCTGTACTACCCACGCCTAGTTAAGCGGTCACTTTCTCGCCTCGCCCAGAAGCTTTATAACAGGCGCAAAGTGGCGCTCTGGCCGGGTCCATGGGGCTGCAGACCCCGAGGTGGGCACAAGGCTCACTGGCCCAGCTGTTGGGCTGACGCTGTGGGGCCACGCCTGCGTGGACCAGGTCTGCAGTGGGTCCATCCGTGTCCCCCGTTGCCTCCTACTGTTTCTATCTGAGATCGGGCCTGGAGCCTCATTCCCAGATTATTCCCAAGCTCGCTACACTAGTTCAGTTTCTTAGGAGACTGTTAGTAAGAAGTGTCTTTGGCAAATAAAAGAGATTTTCAGCATTATAATTTTGGAACGCACCTCTGCTCCTCAGAACCTTGTTGAATATCGTCCGCCCTCCCTCAGAAGGAGCTATACCAAAGATAAACAACCATCTAAGAGGTGCAGTAGCCCAAATGTTGAGGACTGAAAAAAAGGTGCATGCTGACAATACCCTTCCCACCCAGAGAGATGCCGATGCCTCTGTGATGTACTTTCCACACAAAGCATAAACAGTTCGAAGCCATTAGCACATAGTGAGGCATGTAAAGAGTGAAGCAGCCCACGCAGACTGTAAGTGCTGTGATCTACTTGGCAGCCCGTTTAGCCAAGAGAGCCCAAGTACCCACTCCCCAAAGCTTGCTCGAAGCACCAAAATTCAACCAGTTTGAAAGTAAAGCAGGGCCCAGACAATTCACGTACATCAGTGAGGGAGTGGCGAATGGAAAAGTTCATGCCCTGAGTGAGTCCTCTTTGAGTTCCAAAAGCAAAGGATTTTGCCATGTAGGAATGTGTCTCACACCTCCTGCTACTCTGCTATGGTGAAATTGTCTAATATTTCAAAAGAAGTCGAAATCCAGATTTTTAAAAAGTAAATTCCTTCAAATTGCAAATGTTGGCAATTTTTTTTTTTTTTTTTTAAAGAATCATGTTTTAAAAGCAGGCAACATTCAGCCTGCAAGCCACCAGTTCCAGACTCTGGATTAAAGGCTGCTTTGGTCATTGACAGCTTTGTGGAAGAGTAGTTTAGGGGCAGCCCTCTGATTGAGAGGGAGTCTGGGGAGTTGATTTGAAAGCTGTAGCTACATATTAACTATACTTTTTAATTCATAGATTTACTTGGGAAAGTTTGACGGACCCTGAATGAGAGTATGTGGAAACTAGAATTCCTCCCCGCTATCCACCAAACTACTCTAAGGCCTTTGATCAAATCGGCAAATTGGAAATGATTTGATTCTGTGCCCATTGCTTCTAAATTGGAAATCTCTATTAGGGCTCTAAAGAACATTAAATTTCCAAACACAGGGACAAGTGATACCTGTGTTGGTGCTAATCCAAAATGAAAGAGTTCATCTGTGAACGTCAGTCCTTCCTGGCCACCAGAAGGAAAGAGCATGAGAAAAATAAAGCCACCTACATGTCCAGATCTAACCTTGTTTCAATCAGTACCTCTCAAACTCCCATTCCTCTGTCTAGAACGATGTGACTCACATTAATAATAACCTAGTGCTTTATTTTCTCCTGAACCCCTTGTATCCTATTTGGCTGGGGAATAAATGAGGTGAGAGGCAAAGATGTGATCAATTCTATTCCATGATGCCATGGGCCTAGGCCTACTAAGTCTCTCTCTAAGTCAAGGTGATGCTCTGCTTGGCATCACCCATAGCTTTCTTCAAGTAGAGCACAGCTTCACAACCGACCCACTGAGGGGTTGATGACTGCTTCTCTGGCCTTCATCTTATTAAGTCTAGCTCTAGTGGGTCCACTTCTCTGTCTTGGAGAATCTACTGCACAAAAGAAGGAGGTCCTCACCTGTATACAACAGAAATGATAGTGTCAAAGGACTCAGCAAAAGAAAGTATGAACCTGAAGGGTTCTATCTATCCCTTCTCTGAGGTTCCATGTCTTGGCAGCTTTTATTCAATGTCATGTGCTAACCAGAGTGATAGAAAGAAAAACCATAGTACACAAGACCTAGGTTTTTGTCATGGTTCTCAGGTGGTTATTTCATTCCTTGTGTGTGTGTGTGTGTGTGTGTGTGTGTGTGTGTGGCATCAGTATTCTCATTTGTAAAGTGAGAATACTGGCTGAAGTAATCTCTAAATATCCTTCTATTTCTACAAATTCTGAATCTACCTAATTCCTAAGCAAAACTTCCTGTTTCAAAAATTTTTACTCTCTACTCCAAATAAGAACAGCTTTATGGTCACCATAATTCTAATATATTAATGGGAACTGAAGTCTTAATTATATGATGGCCAAGTCTACATAGTTTCTGTTCCATTTTTGCTTCTCTGGCTCCTCATTTCTAAAACAGAGTAAGACAGTAGTGATTCCCAGCTTCAATTTTTAAAAGTTATTTTTATCACTAAAATGTTCAAGCATACCAAAAAACTAGAGAGAATAGTATGATGAACTCATTATATCTATCATCTATATTTAATACATTAACATTTTGATAAATATTTTAAATTTATTTTTTTCTTTCTTTGTTGTTTTATCCAGCTTCAGGGTTTTGAAATAAACCACTCAAACAATATCCATAGTTCCCAGAGCTTTGGGGGAAATTTTTTTCTGAGGTTTGATTTGACATCCCATAACTTTTCTAAAAACCTGAACAATATCAATTTGTTTATCAATTTCTTCCTTGAGAAAAGATGAATTTTTCTCCTGTTTTGTTTCATCTTTCAAAATTTCTTGGTTGGTAAATGCTAGGGTAAATAAATTCTAGGAAGCTCCCAGCATCTTGTAAATATAAAGAATGATTATTCTCCCACGGAATGATAAAATAGGCTATCTGTACAGATTATTTGATAGTGTCTCTGAGAATCCACTGCACAACCAAAAGAGATTCACATCTATTCGTTCATCTATTCATCAAACATCTACTGGGCACCTACTTTGTTCCAGGCTCTGCTAAGCAGTGCAGGAAAGACAGAGATGGAAAGAAAGACACATGCCCTTTCTATCAAAGGTTGGAAGACAGATTTGCAAATAGTTGGAATTAAAGATTTCAATGAAGTTTTTATGTATAAAGTCAATGTTGAAGAACAGTTCTACCTCATGGTGAGACTGAGATAGTGTAGAGAAGAAGGGTCTGTGAAGAGGTTTCTTGGGGAGAAATTTGTTTGTGCTGTTGAGTTTCCACTTCCCTCACACCCAGAAGAAGAGTCAGTACTTGGGCAGTACCTTCTCCTCAAGCCTAATGAAGGGCTTCTGTGGGATTAGAGAGCTTGGAAATTGTTGCCGATAGTTCGAAAACACAGAGAACCACACCAACTCTTGCCTATAAACTAAAGGAGGCAGTAGCCGCAAAGAAGAGATGACTGGATTGGGATCCACCAGTACTCCCAGATTTGGTAGGGATGACAAACATGTATATGTTTTCCCGGACCAAATATGGACCACATAGAAGACAGTCAGCATGGGGTTGCCTTTGGTCTATCCAAAAGGGCTATCTAGAGGTGTGGAGGGACCCAGTAATAAGAAGTTAGAGATGAACGCAGAAATCCTAGAACCTACAGAGGTTGTCACAGGCAACCATTTGTGTCTGTCTAGGCCAAACAGACTCAAGTGAGACGTCTCTGATGATGGCAGTCTCTAAAGAACACTTAATAGCACTCTGCAAGAAAGAGAATCAACTTTAACCATCTGCTAGACCCAGGTAGTACAGACCCATCCTATCAAAACAGAACTGCCCTATCCCCTTAACTGTCCTGCCTCCTCCCACTTTTACACAGCAGATAAAATAGCAGTTAGGTAGTGGGGGTGGAGGTAAATTGAGGAGAAAGCTGCAGGTAGGCAGCCACCAGCCACAGGAGGCCTTTGCAGGGAAGCGGGAGAAGAAGTCTTAAGACTATAACTTAGAATGAAGACTAAAGTATTTGATCACCATCTCGGACTGGAAACATTCTAATTTTGTAAACCAAGACTTAAAACCACTGCCAATTATGGAAGAATGAACTAAAAAGTCAGGGAGTCTGCTCACTTTTCCATTCAGAGGCAGGGGAAGATTATTCCCTCCCAACAAATATTTTTAAAAGATGGTAAAAACTAGAAAAATAAAGTTGTATTTTGATCACATCCCATGAATCTTGCATTCAATATCCCAACTCCATCTTTAAACATTTTAGTTTATTTCTGTTCTTCATGTGTTTATTATAAGTGATTCTATAAGTTGTTTTTTGTTTTTTTTTTTAAATGTGTTGTATCTCTCATAAGACTTTTAAGTCATTATTTTTTCTTCTCTTTCTTGCTAATTCCAGTTCTACTCTCAAGAAGTGTTCATTAGATGGTGTTGATTGACAGTACAATTAGTGTTCCTATTTTCAGACCTTGGCATAAACTTGAACTAGAAATTTGATAATGATGTTTTGCTTGTAATGACTACTGTTATCACTGTTTGACTTGTGTTAATATCCAGTCTCCGTGGGTAGATGCCATTGAGCTGTCCCCAAGTTACAGATCTGGGTATCTTGCTCTTTGAGCATTGTGGCACCTATTGGCTACAGGCCTTTTTGGAGTGAAAAACTCCTTTCTTTACCTGCTGGCTCCAAACACTTTATTTTGAGTGTAATCCTCTAGAGTGAGTGTGCTAGAGGAGAGGAATTTTACTTTGCAACTTCTCTAAGTGGTAACAGGAAGCCTTTCATAACAGTTTTCTGGCTTCTGGCCAGAACTCATTAATTACGCTTCTATCTAAAAAGGACTTACCCTTCTTCATGGGCCACTTGGCTAACGTTGATGGCAAAGTTTTGCTGACACCTTCCTAAAGATAGGTAACTTAAGAAAGAAGAATTGATTCCTTCCCAATAAGTTTTTCTCACACCAAAAAAAGAGAAGAAGCAAAAGGATGTTTGAGATACCCTAAGAGCAAAGGAGAGAGAGAGAGGATCAATCAAAATTAACAAAGTAAGGTGAAA